AAACACTTTTTACATTTATTATGATTGCTACGAACCATTGATAGTTTTGTTAACTTCAAAATATATAGAAGGTTTTCTGAACAAAAGAGAGCCCATGTTCATAAATTTCTTGACCAAGATAAGCGTCATCCTTAACACTTCTGCTCGGGAAAGGAAATCGATGCGTCTCACAGTGTGCCTGCAGGTGACACAACACCAAATATGGACTCCTATACTCGAGGAGATACTAAATGGCTTGAAATATGAGTTGGACTATTTGAATGGCCAATTCCCAAGAGATGCCACTAAGATGGGTCGGCAGATCGTTTCTGTTTGCCTAGAGTTCTTAAATGAAACTTCAAGTTCCTTTCATGCCGACTTCTCTTCACGGGGGCGTGTTTCACCAGCTACAAAGGCTAACTCCTTAGCCTCAAGAAAGTGGAAAGATGTGTTGGGAAAATGTCCTAATAGATTTTAAAGTCGACAAAACTATTCATGAGTATTTTGTAAGTCTGATAAATACTTTGAAGTATTTTGATTCAGAAAATTAATACTTTGAAGATGGCAAACCTTTTACTTCAAGAAGTTCAGACTTTATATATGGCAGAAGGAGAAGTCCAGACTTTATACTACAAAAGAAAAAGTTCAGACTTTATACGGCATATGAAAAACTTCAGACTCGAAAGGTTCAGACTTTAAAGAACAACCATCTTGACATAAGTTATGAATGCAAGACCAGGTTATATAGAACTAGACTATATCCAAACTTTAACGCAAACTCAGAACGTATACAACAGCTAGTAATCTAGCTTGGATTTCGCAAATGGAAAGTCTTGATTGACTCGATCTCAAAGGTTGTAAGAGAAATTTATAATGCAAAATATCTGGGAGAAGAACACTAGAAGTGTCAAAACTTGTGTACGGTGCTCACTTTAGTGCCAAAAGTTTTCTCCGACTCACTTAAGTGCCAAATCGGAGGAAAAACGATCACTTAAGTGCCAACGGCGAGAAATTCCGGCCAAATTAATATGTGGCTTTTATAATTAAAATTTTAAACCTACTTGGAATTTTTTTTTAAAAAAATTGGTCTACGTGGCATTTCCAGGTGTATAATTCGATTTTTTAAATATTTTTTCTGAAATTTTTTCCCTTCTTTTCTTTTTTTCTTTTTCTTTCTTCTTCTTCTTCTACCTTGGGTCATCGCCGATGACCGAAGGCCGGCCATCGGCCGCCTGGCCTTAGCGACAGCGAGGTCGTCCTCGCCATGGCTGGCCGAGGCTCGACCTCGCCCAGATCGGGCGAGGTCAGGCGAGGTCGAGCCTCGCCAGATCTGGGCAAGGTCGAGCCTCGCTCGGCCGTGGCGAGGCCGGCCTCGCCGTCGCTGGGTTTGTCGACGGCGAGGTCGGCCTCGCCATGGCCGGGCGAGGCTCGACCTCGCCGGATCCGGGTGAGGTCGAGCCTCGCTCGGCCATGGCGAGGCCGGCCTCGCCGTCGCCGGGTTTGGCGAGGCGGTGCGGCGCGAGGCCGAGCTGGTCCGGGTCGCGTCGGAGGAGTCCGGGATCGGCGAGCTCTGGGAGCTGGAGGGCGGGTTCCCGGGCTGCTACGACGACCCGTTCCAGTACGGGGCCAGGGATGCGTATGGCGGCGGGGACGAGGAGGGCAGGTACGTGGCGTTCGACGGGCTGTTCGACTTCTCCGACGCGGGCTACGACCCGTCCAATCTGTCGGACTTCTTGTGGCGACGCGGCGCGGGGAGACGACCCGTTCGATTTGTCGGACTTCTTGTGTCGGCCATGGCGAGGCTCGACCTCGCCAAACCCAGCGACGGCGAAGCCGGCCTCGCCGTCACCAAACCCAGCGACGGCGAGGCCGGCCGAGCGAGGCTCGACCTCGCCCAGATCCGGCGAGGTCGAGCCTCGCCATGGCCGAGCGAGGCTTGACCTCGCCCAGATCTGGCGAGGTCGAGCCTCGCCCGGCCATGGCGAGGCCGACCTCGCGTTGCCAAACCCAATGACGGCGAGGCCGGCCTCGCCACGGCCGGACGAGGCTCGACCTCGCCCGACCTCGCCGGATCTCGAGCGAGGTCGAGCCTCGCCCGGCCATGGCGAGGCCGACCTCGCCGTCGCCAAACCCGGCCGACGGCGAGGCCGGCCTCGCCATGGCCGGCGAGGCTCGACCTCGCCCGACCTCGCCGGATCCGGGCGAGGTCGAGCCTCGCCCGGCCATGGCGCAGGACGGCCTCGCCGTCGCTGAGGCCGCAGGCGGCCGGCTGTGGCCGGTGGCCGGCCTCCGGTCACCGGCGGTGACTCAAGGTAGAAGAAGAAGAAAAAAGAAAAAGAAAAAAGAAAAGAAAGAAAAAAAATTCAAAAAAAATATTTAAAAAATCCAAGTGTACATGCTAAACTACGTCGTTTTGATGTGTACATGCTGACTGAGCATGCTGACTCAACCTCCGGCGAGCCACATCGGCTTCAAAAATTAATAAAAAAAGGCCACGTCGGATTTCCGGCCAAACTGATCGGAGTTGGCACTGAAATGAGTGTTTTTCAAAAAATTTGGCACTAAAGTGATCCAAATGAAACTTTTGACACTAAAATGAGCGCCGTACACAAGTTTTGGCACTTCTACCGTTCTTCTCCCAAAATATCTTAAATTGATTGACAATCAACTTCGAGACAAGTTTCTTTCTAAATGGAGAGGTTCTTCTTATAAAAACCAAAAATTTGATTGTATGGGTGACTAGATTCAACGGGATTCATATATTATCACTCAATGGCTACTCAATCCTTCTTATACAAATATGTCCAAAGATTGGAAGATGATCATTTGAATACTGTCCAACGGCCAGATTGGAAGTGAAGGAGTATAAAAAGAGACCAAGTGCTGAGGAGCAGAAGCAAGAGACGAAATCCATAATCTACAATTCCAAAGTCTAAGCATACTCCGACCTTTACTACTTGTCTTTCATGAGCTAAAATCTGTGATCTTGAGAGACATACTGTAAGAGTTATTAAGTGAGATAGAGTGACCTATCATTCACAGAGTGTTATTACTCAAAATTTGTAACATCTTCATTGATCATCTAGTGGGATCCATCCAGTAGGCTGTCAGTGTGAGAGAATGAACATAGCATTGATCTAAGACGAATCACTATACGTTTTGTGTGCGGTTTTTCTCATCCCTTACAGTTCCGTTCATTTATTACGTTGCACATTCACACAATTGCTATAAAAGACTGTTTAAAGTCTGAACGTTGTTCTTGTTCTTTTATTTACGCTTTAACTTAATCAAGAATTGTTTAAATCACCTATTCACCCCCTTTTAGGTGATCCTTGCTAGTCACCTCAAGATGTCCTTGAGATGTTTGATGACCTCATTTGATGTTTAAATTATGAAGAAGAATTGTTTTTCCATTTAAAGAAGCATGAGGCAATGAAGGAAGGGTTGTCTCAAATCAGGGATGTGGTAGTTGACAGATGTGTTGGGTATAAAGATGCTCGACACCAGGAAAGCCTAGTAGTGCAAAGGAAACTTACCAAGACACTAGGATACTCATCCCCATGCATGTTTAGTCTTCGCTTGTATTATCTCTATGGATATGTCAGAGACTTGGAGGTAGACCTTTTGGTGGGATTTGGGGACACGGCGAAGATAGCAATGTTGTTTGCACATGGGAAGGATTTTGACATCAGATTAGGAAAATATCGTCTGGAATGGGGTAAAACATTTACGGTTCTTGGACTTTTCAGGTTTGTGTGAGAAACAGCAGCAGTGGAAAGAGTTTTGGAATTGCAAGGTCATTTATGGTGCATGGGAGCTGAGGAGAGGACATTAACATATAAAGGAAATCCATATTTTTAATGAAGTCACATTGTGATTGGTTGATCTTTACCATTTCTGTGTTTGAACTAATTGTGTTTGTAGATTATTTATTTAATCATAAATACAAGAGACCAGAGTTCATTTCACTTTTTCGGTGGTTGAAGAGCTGACATTTCTCTGGGTGAGTAGGATGCTTTGTATCGCCTTGGGGCAGAAATGGCAACTACATGGAGTGGGAGGATTAGTAATTTCACATCAACCACATGGAGAGTAACACCAAGGAGCATGTAAACGATACTTAGGTTGCATATTTCTAGTAGAATTTTATTTGAAAGCTCTATAGACCCAGCATAAATGCAATATTGTGAATGAAATTGTCAAGCACTGTCAACAGCATATTTGTCTGTACACTTGTGAATCAACACGTCTAAAATCTATTATATGCAAGGTATAGCGTATCCAACTATATCCATTACCCGTAGGGAACAGAAACTATGCACGTCTTCAATCCAGGTTCTATTATTAACATGTACAATCATTGATTTTTGTGTTGGTATTACTATTAGGATTGTTGATAGTATAGTATCATTGTCTGCTCGGTTTTCCACTCGAGCATCACCTCCTTCAGTTATTGATTTTTGCTACCGTGTGGATTTCTGGAGCTCCCAGTTGACTTCATAACGGATAGCGTCTGTTGCAAAGGATGGTGAAGAGGCATCTGTCATGTTCAGGTTCGGTTGCTTCATGTCTGGAAGAACTCGTTCTACAACTATGTAGAGAATCCTCCAAAACTTGCATATATCTACTGCTAGATAGAATATTATGGCGTAGATACAATTTTATGCATAATGCAGATAGCTGCAGTTGATTTTCAAGTTACCTGATGAGAATGTCTCTATCTCGGCCATATTCTTGTATCGTGTAATTAGAAACTTCAATGGCATCTGAGAGGTGAAGGCAATATTTTAAGAGACTAGCTATAGAAGTTCCAGTTCACTTAGTCATTCCCTCTGTTTCTGGTGCCCCATCTTCTGTAGGCGTGCGTTCGGCAAAAACTTCGGGCAATATTCAACCACTCATTCTCAACATGCCTCAAGTTTATTAATTGCTAAATGCTGAGAAGGGCCTACAAGCTAATCTCAGGGCTGAATCGCCACATCCCATTCATTCACCATTCCGTCGTCGTGAAATGTATTGGATAGTGAAAAGCTAATATTCTGCACCGACTAACATACATAAATGGATGTCTGCTGATTCTGATAGAAAGTGACCAATGATCACACGCAATTCAATCCAAACTTAGAGCATTACAGTGGCAATTTACCATTAAAAAAGCAAAGTTATTTGAGAGATAGGACTGAGCACGCGGTCTGCACTATAGTCAGGGCAAGCAACACAATCGCAGCGACAACCGAGATGACTGCCCACGGGCTACTGCAGTAATTGCGCTTAAACATGGCCTTCCACTTGTTATAACGCCTTCGGCAATGCGCGACGAGCTCATGCCTGAGGTCGTAGAAGTAGGCGTTTCTTGTCCACATGTAAGTTTCGTTGCAGAAGGTGTTGAGTAGGCGTGTGGCAGCATCCTCATTGCCGAGCCAGTTCTCTATGATTTCTTTGTCGATCAGCAAATTTGCATCACCTGGGGTATTGATCAGGTGATCCATGAAGGCCATATAGTCGATCAGATAACTGTCGTCCCGGTAGTAACATTGCTCGAAGGCGATAATGTTCCTAAAATAGGATTCCGTTGTGTGGTAAAGACCGAGGCGCGGGATTTCGAGCACTCCATTCTTGAATTTGATGTCTAACAAGCACCGGCTTTTACCTGAGAGCATTGTTAGTAGAAGATAAGGAGATAAATAGAGAACGAAACAGAATCAAATTCAGAAAACAAAATGACACAGGTCAACTCTCACCTCTTCTCAGCTTGACTCCGGCCGCCACCAGCTCGGTTGCACTTGGGATGAACTTGAACATTTCATGGTTCTCGTATGGTGCCTTCCTGACCGATGGCAAGTGCAAGAGCCTGATCGCATCGAGGAAGTGCTTCACCTCTGACTCCATCACCCCCTCCGGCAGCTCCTCCATTTTCATCCGCGGCTGGAAGAACTGATACGCAAGCTCGAGCAGCCCCGGTGTGTGCTTTTGGTGCGATCCGTACGCCATCTCGAACAGCTCTTGGATGGCAAAGAACGGTATCTGGTTCTCCAGCAGCCACATGTCGCGGCGGACGTCGTTAATCATCCATGGCTTGCCAAAGATCGGGTCGCCATACGGCCTCCACTTATAGTTCCACTGCATCAGGAAGAGCTGGATCACAAAGATGCCGTCGAGGAGCATCATCTGTGCAAACTCATCGAAGTCGGGGATGATCGGCTTGTCGTAGCACTTCCGGGCCCGACCCTCCCAGGACTTGATCCTCTCGATGTAGTCCTCCAGGCCAAACCTCCGGTTGTACTGGAGGAAGCTTTGCAAGTATCGCAGCTTCTGATCCTCCATCGGCTTGAGGCCTTCCTTGTCACGGTGATAAGGTCCGATTGCGACGACGCGAGGTGTGTAGGCCTCTTCGTAGCCCCGCCGGAGCTTCTCCGGAACGGTGTAGATGCAACAGTCCACAGATACTGCAGATAGTTGCTTCATTCTGTTGGTTATTGAAGTTACGAGTTCACCGTGATGATGGTCACTTGCAGATGTCGGCCCTGTTCCTGCCATCCTCTGTTTCTTCTCAACCTTAAAAAGAAAAATTTTCCCTCCTCAGTCAATCAAGAGCAAAGGTTTGAGCAAAATCCAGGGCAAGAAAAAGGGTATTCTGTGCCAGAATAAGCCCAGAAATCAGGTGTGGCCTCTTTAATGCGGAGCCATCAAGGAATTAGCCAAAAAAAAAAAAAAAAGGAACAGAAACAAAGAAGGAGCGGGAATTCAGACATAGGGTTTGGTTGGTCTGACTGTTAGGCATGGCCGGAAATTTTCGTCCTCGTACTCTCTGTAATTTCACATTTATAATTGATGCACAAGTCATTTTAAACCAATTTGCATTTTCTTGAGGTTGGCTCCAGCTCCATGTGTTTTTTTATGTGAAAGCACAGAGACTAGTAAGCAAAGCACGTTCGTAAGGAGGTTTTGGTGAACACCAGGCAGCCATTCAATTGGTAATATTACCAACTCAATCCATCATATTTAGGTATACTAATAAGCAAAGCACGTGCTTATATTTTTGTTTGACAGTGGACTTAGAGCATTACAGTGGCAATTTACCATTAAAAAAAGCAAAGGTAGTTGAGAGATAGGACTGAGCACATCGTCTGCACTACGGTCAGGGCAAGCAATACAATCGCAACGATAACCGAGAGGACCGCCCACGGGCTACTGCAGTAATCGCGCTTGAACATCGCCTTCCACTTGTTATAGGGCCTCCGGCAATGCGTGAGGAGCTCATGCCTGAGGCTGTAGAAGTAGGCGTTCCTCGTCCCGAGCAAAGTGTATTTGCAGAAGGTGTCGATTAGGAAGCCGAGATATGAAGATTGTGTTGGGGAGAACTGGGGCAACAATTCATCAAGAACTAAGCTCAATTTAGGATGAATATTTTCTCTACGATTAAACCGACCGAAATCGACGTAATCCTAGCAACAACCAACAATATTCCATCAATTGAACCTTGTAATAATAAGGAGACAAATGCAACAACGACATCAAGATTTAATGTAGAAACCAATGAGAGAAAAATCACGGATCGCCCCAAAAACTTCAACTAATCACCAAGAAAGCAGTATACATAAAGCTCTTTTCTAGTCACACACTAAATGCACAACATCAGTAATACAACATCATTTTTATCACCACAAAGGTGGATTTACATAAATAGAGGAGAAAACCCTAACCTCGATTGGAGAATTCGAAGGACATTCTCAACGAACGAAACCGATCAACTTGTAGCCCTCGTCTCACGAACAACATACTAAAATTTGGGCTAATTACGACAACGTTTGGCCTTCGAAACCGGACCGCAAAATTCAGCCCTCTTTCTTCTTCTCCCACGCACTCTCGCGGTGAGTCCCTCCCGGTGGTCTCACTCTTTTTCTCTCTCCCGCGCTTGCACGAAGCTGCCTCACCTTTTGCTTTCTTTTTGACTTTTTCTTTTTGTTTTTGTTTCTTTTCTTTTTATCATGTTGGCTGGGCCCCGCAAATGAGGCGGACCCACCCAACAACAGATTGAAGAAAGTCGGAGCACAAAAAACAGGGTCGAAGATGACGAGCGGTCAAGACATTGAAGGGAAAGTTACAGCGACTCCCACTGATTCGCACACCAGAAACGCGAAGTCTCTTCATAGAATCAATCAACAAGAGTCGAGTCCCCTCTGCCAAATTTAAGCGAGCACGGCATCTCTCTCTAGGAATCACAGCTTACTTTTAGTTTTTTTAATTGACCGTGTGACCATTTTCATTGATTTTGTCGAACCCTCTTAAACTGGATGATTGCCGTTCAACGGAAGAGGGAAGGGAAAGTAATATATAAGTGGATCCGACCTTGATTTTATATTGACTATTTAAATTGATTTTATTCACGAAAAATTATTTTTTTTCATCAAAAGAAATTTGCAGATGTTCCGATGAATAATCAATATGGCTAGCCACCACAACTTTAAGAAATAACCACACGTAAAATGAGTAAAGAGAACAGGAGGAATCGAGCCATGAAATATGCTAAGTAAGATAAGAGAGAGAGAGAGTAGTTGAATAACGCAAGTCAGACACAAGTCATGTACAGCTTGTGTCAATGGCACAACATGAACATATATGTAACTCTTGAGGATAAATGATATGATATGTGTCATCACTCATCTCAGAACAACTACCCCATAAACAGCTCTGATGATATGATGCCTATAAATGCCTTTTCTTTCAAATGAATATGAAGAGAAAAGGGAAGAGCAGATACGTTGTTGTCTAATCTTAGGGTTTGGTGGGGTTTCACGATGAAATATGAAAGAACATTTAATCATGAAAAAGAAGAGAGAAGACGGATGGTCAGAACGGGTGAGATAGAAGTACACTTGAGTTCAGCAGCTAGCGCTTTCTTCTTCTTTCCTTTTGAAGTCATGATACCAGAGGAGATTAAAAGACAGTTACAGAATTTATTCAGCAAGAAAAGAAATCGCCTTCGTAAGTACATTCCTAGTATCAAACTTAAAGCTTCTTCTTGGACACGGAATTGCGTTTCATCCTAACCTTCAACCAGTGCCAATGACTTCTGTAATAAGCTTTCAGATTCTGCCGAACACTGCAGAAACTGCCGTTCCTCGTCCAAAACCGGCTCTCCTTTCCAAAACTGTTGAAAAGATTTGCCAATGCCTCATCATCCTTTGCCAATGTCTTTGCCAATCTCTCATCATGCCCCAACCAGTTCTCAATATCGATTATGCGTTTCTTGATCAGCAGCTTCGCATCAGCTCTGGTGTTGATGAGATTCCCCAAGAATGCTACGTAATCAAGGAAGTAACTATCGTGTTTATAATAGGCATGCTCCAAAGCTGTGACATTCCTGAGGAAAGACTCGGTCGTAGGAATTAGCTTGAGACATGGGATATAAAGAACACCCTCTGAGAATGTAATGTCAAATAAGCAATTGCTTTCGCTCATTCTAAACTTCACTCCTGCTGCTCGAAGGTGCAATGCCCTAGGTATCGCTTCTGCCTCCTTCCATCCAGCACCTTGTGCATCTTGCATGGCAGGTAAGTGCCACAACCTTAAAGCATCCAATAAATGCTTGACATCAGAGTCTAATATCCTCGGCCTTTCTGCTTTGAGATTCACTCCGGAGCCAAAGAAATCATAGGCGAGCTCCAATAAAGATGGGAGTTCTCCCAATTGACTTCCGTATGCAAAATTGAACAGATCATCAAGAACAAAAAATGGGAGTTGATTCTCCATCAAACTCATGTCCCTTCTCACGTTGGAGATCATCCACTTTTTTTGCTTGTCGAAGATGACATCATTCTTGGTCTGCCTATCTGGGGAACGGTTTGACAAGAACAGCTCAATGGTGAATGCACCATCTACAAGAATCATTGTGATGAACTCATCACTGTTGAGATCGATCTTCTCCAAGTAACACTTTCTGGCCCGGTCTGCCAACTTCTTGATGACCTCAACGCACTCTTTCAATTGCTTCTGTGTCTGCTCCAGAAATCTTTGCAGGTACCTCCACTTGTGGTCTTCCATGGCCTTCCACTGTTTGCCATGATGGTAGAATGGTCCGATGGAGACTTCCTTTGGCAAGAAGGCTTCCTTGTGGGTCTTGCGGAGCTTGTCTGGAACAGGCAACAAGCGATAGTTGAAGGATGTTTCAGATATTTGCTTCAATCTGTTGGTTATAGAAGTTACGAGTTCATCATGATGATGGTCACTTGCAGATGTAGGCCCTGTTCCCGCCATCCTCTGTTTCTTCTCAACCTTAAAGAAAAATTTCCCTCCTCAGTCAATCAAGAGCAAAGGTTTGAGCAAAATCCAGGGCAAGAAAAGGGTATTCTGTGCCAGAATAAGCCTGGAAATTAGATGTGGCCTCTTTAATGCAGTGCCATCAAGGAATTAGCCAAAAAAAGAAGAAAAGAACACAAACAAAGAAGGAGCGGGAATTCAGACACAGGGTTTGGTTGGTCCGACTTTTAGGCATGGCCGGAAGTTGAGACCACTGATGATATGCTTTCGTCCTCGTATTCTCTGTATTTTCACATTTATAATGGATGCACAAGTCATTTTAAACTAATTTGCACTTTCTTGCGGCAGGCTCCAGCTCCAGGTGTTTTTTTATACTTCTCTTAAGTCAGCTTTATGTGGGCAACAGACCTATAGGCCGCTAAAATTTGCAGGTTCGTAAGGAGGTTTTTGGTGGACTTTCTGGTGAACACGCACGAAGCAGCCATTCAATTGGTATTACCAACTCAATCCAGCTGCATTAGGCCTACTAATAAGCAAAGCACGTGTTTATATTTTTTAAGTTATGACTTCATTGTAATGATTTGTCTCTTGCAAATGTTCTCCCTGCTCCTGCCGTCCTCTGTTTCCTCTCAACCTTGGAAAATATAATGTCCCTCGGTCAATCAAGAGCGAAGGTTGTAGCAATATCCAGTCCAAGAAAAGGGTACTGCGCCTGAATAAGCCCAAAACTAGATTTGGTATCTTTTGTGCTGACTGCTGAGCGATCATGGAATTTGAAAGCAGAAAAAAGAAGCAGGAATTCAGAAATGGGGGTGAGGGAAGATAAGTACCTGAAACGGTGGTTGGCTGGTTTGACTTTTAGGTAGGGCAAGAAGTGGAGACCACTCTGGTGAAATGGATTCGTATTCGCACTGTCTGTATTTTCACATTTATTAAAGACCTCATGTCATCATGATTGATTAGCTATTACAGCTCACAATAATTACACAAGTCATTCTAAATTGACTTCTATTTTTCCAAGGTATGCTCAACGAGTTTTTCTATTCCCCCCGCTTGAGTCAGCTTCATGGGGACGAAGGTAGAGAAATTTATGACGAAATAGTAAATTTTAGGGGTGAGCTGTTCCAGATTCCAGGTTTCGTCCACGTTTCACTTGAAATCTCAAACCTACCCATTAGAACAAGTAGTCTGATTTTTAGAACTTGGAACTTACCATGTATATCCAGGAATGCAGAACATACCATGTCACAAGTTCCATAGTCAGTTCCAGAGTCTACACAAATTTTACTTGTATTCTTAATTGAACGATTGCAGTGAATCATCAACTCCAATGATCACCATTTGTTGCATTCCACTTATCACAATTCATATTTAGATATACAAAAAATATGTAATAGTAATAAAATAAAAGTCTCAGTCATGAATATTATCGGAAATGAAAGCTCATACTAATGGTTTTAGATTACACACTCATCATTGGACGTCATATAATGTCACAGGATCGCACAAAGACATGAAATAAGAAAAGCACAAAGACTTGTTCCAGGTTTTAGGTTCCTCAATTTTTGAAATCTAGAACCTACCCTACATACCCTAGAACTTGGAACCGGACCGGTTTCTATCAGTTCGATTCTCAGGTTCCCGGTTCTACCCTGAAATTATGCTCATCCTTAGTAGATTCAATTTGACATTCAGGCATGGCAAGAACTAGAGTCTTTGTTGAAGTGGAGTCTTTGTATTTTTCTGAATTTATAGTGACATAGTATCACGATTGACTAGCTAGTACGGCTCAAATACACAAGTCATTTTAAATTAATTTAGTATTTTCACATTTATAATGACCTAATATTAAGATTGACTCACTATTATGGTTCACAATAATGCACGACTCAAATTAAACTAATTTTCATTTTTTTAATGATATGCTTAGCATCTATATCCAGACTGAGCATATCCATATCCAAGGAAGACACCAGTGGTTGCCTTGGGGACTACTTTTCTCTTAACTGTGTAGGAATATGAACATAAGGGTCCTTGAGATGTATATTAGGAAATCCTTGAAAATCAATTTGACAATTGATTCTGATTTAAATTTTTAGGCGGTCTCCTAGACTCCTACACCTTTTGCTATCACCGGGAGAGTAGCTTTCTGCTTAGTCTTCTTCGGAATCCACTGTGATATGATCTCCAGTGAGTCTCTTCACGATTTTTCTCTGCTTTGTTTCATCACTTCTCGTGTTTCCTTCACTCTTCTTAGCCCATTTTTGGTTCTCTTTTCCTTCTTTTCCTGTAAATTGCTCGTCCTGATTTCTTCGCCTTTCGCTTGTTTAATCTTCTGGTTCCTTGTATTCCTAAGTTTTCTCAGCGTGGTCAATCGCAGTGAATTGTGTTCCTTCTGTGTGCTTTCTGACGTAAGGAAAACCCATTAGATACCGAGAACAGAATCTAAAAGAGTCGACAGAAACAATCCGACAGGACGCACACAATCTAAAAGATTGTCTGCTGGACTTCAAAACCAGGAAACAAAAGAAGTATGTCTTCCTTGAAGAACAATTCGAGAAAATAATTAATTAATTCTATATGTGTGTATGTTATCTGCGACGCAAGCAGGCCCCCGCCGCGAAGAGAAGATCCCCATCCCCCGCCCCCACGATGCAAACAGGGCCCGCATCCCCACCCTGTTTGCCCCTCCAAGCAAAAAACAATAGACACAAGCAGCAGAAGTAGAGGACTAGATTAGTAGATTCTGTGTCATAACTCTTTGAGTTGCTTTAGTTGGCGATTTCTTCATTTCTATTGACTTCAAGTTCAGCTTGCATGAACTCGCTTGCCATGCTCTATAGTTCTCATCATCATTGGTCATAATTAGGCACAGACGCCGTTGTATTGGACATTAAATCCGGGACGTTCCACGCACATAGAACAGGTGAACTACCTGTTCGATGGCCACAACATTACAAGAACAGTTGAATAAGTTCCAGGGACTTCAGGAAACTGTGGATCGAATCTCACCAGGTGTTGCGGCGAAAGCCAGAGCCACAAGGACCCAGTCAAGACCATGCCTACAATGGAATTCTCGAATGATATAGAAATACTTAAACGTACTAGTGGTACGTGCAAAGCCCTTGTGAGAGCTCAGATGAAGGGTGTCATCAACTTGTTGTCTGAGGTGATGGAGGTAGCAATATCACCTAAAAGGGGGTAAATAGGTGATTTTTATAAACACTTGACAAATTAAAGCGGAAGTAAGAATGTCAAGATACAGACAGAATCTTAGTCTGAATAGTTGCAGTGATATGAAGATATTCACTAGAGCTTAAAAGTCAAAGTCTGAATAGAGATCATATACAGTACATCAATGTGCAAAGATAATTAACAAGAGTAAAAGGACAAGAAAATTTGCACACAAAATTTATAGTGGTTCGGTTTAGATCAAGCTTACATCCACTTTCACATGCTGACATCCTACTAGCTAGAGAATCACTCTCTAATCAACCTGTTGGACGAGATAACATAAAGAAGATTGACTAGCCATTGAATGATAAGATCTGAATCCCTGTTGATTTGATCGCCCATCCAAACAAATCTCCAACGACCCAGGGTGAAAAGGAGTCTAAAGTCAATCCGGTCCATGCTTCATTGCTCTTGTTGTTGCTGCTCTGTGCTCCATTTCTGCTTAAGTCGACTCACATCTTCATGTCACATAAAACAGGAGCAGTCATTAACCCTTGCAAAATCCCAACAGAGCCAAGCTAAAACTCGAGAGGCATAGCGATGCATTAAAAATCTCAAGGACGACCGTCACTCACTCTCACAACAGCTAAAAAAAAGGATCAAATGAGACTTTTGTATGAAAACGAAGATGTACCTGATTTGAACTGGTCTTCTGATAGGAACGAGTTAACTTCGAATGAGGTAATACACAGCTGCGGTATGGTTGAATTGATTGAAGATTGCAGTGAAGACCGTGGTGTAACCGTTACTCCACTCATCAAAGTTTGTGGCTACATGACTGGGTTACAAAGCATCCGGATCCAAGTAAATTAGGGACAATTTCAAGAGAGGAAATTTAGGGTATAAGTATCCACAGGGTAAAAATTAAGGTGAGAAAAGTACAAGCACTGCATTATGAGTGAAAAATAATTTAGGGCATAAGTATCCACAGGTTAAAAATTAAGGATTTTGATAACATTTACCCAAAATCTTATCACAGTAAAGTGTTTAATCTATCAATTACGTGACTGACGTAGTTTAATCGGTCAATCACGTCTTGCATAATTTGCATTGTTAATGACTTTCCATTTGATTTACTTCTTCACATATTGTTGCCATAGGATGTATCCCATGCATGACGACCATCGGGATGGGGTTTTGCTCGTTATTACAATATCCATATATTTAAGCCGAAGATATCATTTGTCTCACCTTTAATTTTTTAAAAATTGCTCTTTCGTCAAAGTTAAAAATACTCACTATCCACTCTTCCATCAAGTTACCACCCAATTCAACACATCCACTCAATTGAATAATCAATTCCTATCTCTTCACATTATCCATCCACGATCACGCCTCATCACTAGTTTTAATCGCGTAAATGCAAGCTCTGAAAAGTACGAACTCGGGCCCCACTATTTAGAGAATTGTCAATAGCGATAGTTCAAATTGCAATTTGTTGTGCCCGAGAGATTCCTAATTTCATATGAAGAACCCGGGATCAAGAGGGTTGCCTCTTCTTTGCTCGAACAGAGGTGTCTCCTTGATTTCCGCATTCTTCTCGTTAAAGTTGGTGATGGTGATTTTCTAGTTCTATTGTGGCCAAGTTTCTGAAACTTGCAAGTCTACGCCAAGGTTGTATACACTGCCATTCCACGACTACCTGTGATCATGGAAAAGGTTTGAGTGTTTTTAGTGCGTGGCGACGGCCACCAGCTGTTCGATCGTTTGTCTGAGTGAAGTAATAGTGTGGGTGAACCCACCGATCAGTCCTCTGTTTTGAATGGGGTTTCCTGAAGATTAAATTGAGAATCGACCTGGTGAAAAATATAAGGATCGAGATAGGAGTTGTTAGAGCTAGCTACTAATGGCTTGCAAACATATGTTGAACAGCCTCTGCTGGGGAAAGCATCTTGACACCCGAAGAAATTGATTCGTGCCTTGGAAGGTGATGTTTTATCATGGTTTTGGCGAAGCTTGTCGGGTGACTTTGCCTGCGAGACGGTATGAGAAGGCGTTTCGCAAAATGATAAATTGAGCGACTGCTTAAAGGATGGGATTCGGTCGATGGACAGCTCGTGTATTGGGTCAATTGTCATAAAGTGCATACTTTTAGATGGCTTGCTAGAGCTTTTATTGGGTCTCCACCGATCAGCAGACGCCGGAGAGAAGTATTCCGGCATCTTCAGCGTATGCAAAGTCTACACCCCATGTTTGTGTCAGTAAAGTGAGTGAAATAGAGCCTATGGTCATAAACTCCCTGACTAAGATAAGCGACATCCTTAACGTTTCCGCTCAGCAAAGGAAATCAGTACGTGTCATAGTATGCCCGCAGGTGACACAGCACCAGATATGGACCGCTACACTCGAGGAGATACTAAACGGCTTGAAATATGAGTTGGACATTTTGACTGGCCAATGCCCAAGACATGCCATTAAGATGGGTCAGCAGATCGTCTCTGTTTGTCTGAAGTTCTCAGATGAAACTTCAAGTTCATTTAATCCTGACTTCTCTTCGCGGATGTGCGTTTCACCAGCAGCGAAGGCTGACTCTTCTGCCTCAAGAAAGTGGGAAGATGTCCTTGAGATGTTCTTCACCATCCTTAGGATAGAGGCTGAATAGCCGCATCCCGTTCATATTCGCCGGTTCTTCATTCCGAGACGTATTGGATAGGGAAAGTCTAATTATTCTGCGCCCCAGACTAATGATAATGTTCAGAAATAGGATTCTATCGTGTGGTAAAGATGGAGGTGCGGGATTTCGAGCACTGATTTCAAACAAGTTCTTGCTTAGAGCATGTTATTAAAAGATAAGGAAATAAATAGACAACAAACAAAATCAAATAGATATTCAAATTTAGAGAAGAAAATGACACAATCGACTCCCACTTCTTCTTTGCTTGACTCTGGCCGCCACCAGCTCCGTCGCGCTTGGGATGAGCTTGACCATCTCCTGGCTCTCGTATGGTGCCTTCCTCGCCGACGGCAAGTATGTGAACTTGATTGTGTCGAGGAAGTGCTTTCACCTCCCACTCCATCGCTGCCTCCGGACTTCCTCCATATTCATCCTTGGCTTGAAGGACGTACGCGAGATCGAGCAGCCCCAGCGTGTGCTTCTGGTGCTATCCGCACGCCATCTCCAACAGCCCTTCGATGGTGAAGAACGGCATCTGGCTCTCCAGCAGTGTCATGTTTCGGCGGCCGGCATTGAGCATCCATGACTTGCCGAAGATCGGGGTCGCCGCCCAGCCTCCACTCACGGCTCCGGTACATCAGGAAGAGCTGGATCATGAAGATGCCGTTGAGGAGCATCATCTCGGCGAACTCGTCAGAGCGGAGGTTGATTTGCTCTTCATAGCAACTCCAGGCGCTATCCTCCCAGGACTTGATCCTCTCGATGAAGTTCTTGAGGGGGCACTTCCCGTTGTGCCTGAGGAAGCTCTGCAAGTACCCCAGCTTGTGATCTTCCATCGGCATGACACTTTGATTGGGACGGTGATAAGGTCTCATCACGATAACATGGGGCGTGTAGGCCTCTTTGTAGCTCTGCCAGAGCTTCTCTGGTACGCTGAAGATGCAGCATTCAGAGGATAGAGCATGTAAGACCTGAGCTTCTCTCGGATTGAAAATGCCAGATTTGGGTTCTCTCTCCTGGAGTTGAATTTGTTGTTGTTGAGATTTTCGATGTTGAGGCATTTCCCACAGTTGCGCTGGTGCGATAGGCGTGTAATTCAAGATGGCATCTGAAAGGCTAGGGCAATATTGTAAGATACTGGCTATACAAGTTCAGGCTCACTTAACCTAGGCTTTCATGCTCTCTGTCTCTGATGCACCGTCTTCTCCAGGCGTGCTTTGACAAAAACCTTGTGAAATATCCAACAATTCCTTCTCAACATGTCTCGAGTTTGTTTATTGCTAAATGCTGATAAGGGCCTACAAGCTAATCTCAGCTGTGGCGACATTTCTTTCCTTGGGATAGAGGCCGAATAGCCGCATCCTGTTCATATTGGCCAGTTCTTCATCGCAAGATGTATTGGATAGGGAAAAGCTAATTATTCTGCGCCCCAGGCTAACATAATAGATGGATGATCTGCTGGTTCTGATAGAAAGTGATCGATGATCACACATAATTCAAACCAAAGCTAGAGCATTACAGTGGCAATCTACCATTCAGAAAGCAAAGTTATTTGAGAGATAGGAGTTAGCACACGGTCTGTACTACCAGTCAATGCACGCAATACCACTGCAGCATAATCGAGAAAACCACCCACGGGCTCTTGCACTGATCGCGCTTGAACGTCGCCTTCCACTTTTTATAAGGCCTTCGGCACTACTCAACGAGCTTTTGTAGAAGTAGGCGTTCCTCGTCCACAGGAAAGTGTCCTTGCAAAAGCTGTTAATTAGATCCGCAGCAGGTCTTCATTGCCGAGCCAGTTCTGCGACCATACTGGTCCGAAGCCGGGTGGTAAGTCGCCGGAATTTGGCCAAAATCGGCAATTTCTCTTTCTCGGCCCAAAATTGCCCGATTTTTCAATTCAATCAAAATCCCAATGCAAAACATCAAGGCAGAGATATATATGACTCTAATATCAAATGTTAGAAAATTCTAAAGGACTGAAGACCCGATTATACATGGATGAACAAAACTCATGCATAATCAGGATCGAATGTGGAAACGTGAAGATTCTTTACTAACCTCCAGCTATTGATGTAGTTCGATTGAAAATCAGATTTGCGAAGCGTTGAACTGTTAATGAAGGATATCTCTAGCCAATTGCCCTCTCGAATGTGATGGTGTGTTTTCTTATTATTAGAGGGTTTGGCTTAGAAGACCCTTTTTATATCCATTCGCACCCCTTCATACAACTTCTTCCATCAAGAAATCGTGCCTTTTGGATAGTCACAATATAATGGGCAGTTATCACGCAACTTAACGTGGACAATAAACGTTAATGAAATTAATTGAATGTGGAAATAATAAACCGAATGTGGGATCACATTATTGATATTATAACAACAATTTCATTTACTCGGGAAAAATCAATTAAGAAATTTGCAGACATTCCGATGGAAAATGTTATCGGTGAAAAGCAACCATAAAGGAGTACAGAATACAGAAGAAATCAAGCCAAGAAAAATGTTAAAGTGCGAGCCGACTTTTAGATAGAGAGTTGTCGAATAATGCGAGTCAGACACAAGAAAAACTTGTGTCAATGGCAGAACATTTAACTCTGAGGATAAGTGGTATGATTTGTGTCATCACTCATCTCAAAACATTTACCCATATACAGCTCTAAGAGTATGATCTAACCTTCTCATGATCGATCATGCACGTGTTGTCTGCTGATACGATGCCTATAAATGCCTTTTCTTTCATATACATATAAAGAGAAAAGTGAAGAACAAATACTGTGTTGTCTAATGTAATGCTCTCGTGATGAAACATGAAAGATTCTTATACTCATAGTAAAGAAGAGAGAAGAGGGAAGGTCGGAAGGGGCAAGCTAGAAGTACACTTGAGTTGCCAGCACTCTCTTCTTCTTTCTTTCTGAAGTCATGATACCAGAGGACATTAAAAGATCTTATAAAATTTACTCAGCAAGAAAAAAAGTCCCCTTCAAAGGTAAATTCCTAGTAACAAACTTAATGCTTCTTCTTGGACACCATGGGAACCTTCACCTTGTGCCAATGAGTTTCATAATAAGCTTTCAGATTCTGCTGAAGAATGCAGAAACCGATGTTGGTTGTCCGAAACCAGCTCTCCTTTCCAAAACTGTTGAAAAGATTTGCCAATGTCTCATCATTATTTGCCAATATTTCTTCATTCCCCAACAAGTTCTCAGGAGCGATTATCCCTTTCTTGATTAGCAGCTTCACATCGGCTCTAGTTTTGATGAGATCTCCCAAGAATGCTACATAATCAATGAAGTAACTATCATGTCTATAACAGGACTGCTCAAAAGCCATGATATTCCTGAGAAAAGACTCGGTTGCGGGATTTAGCTTGAAACATGGGATTTCAAGAACACCCTTTGAGAATTCGATGTCGAATAAGCAATTACTCTTGCTCATCCTGAACTTCACTCCTGCTGCTTGAAGCTGCTTTGCCCTAGGTATTGCTTCTATCTTCTCCCATTTATAGTCTAGTGCCTTCTGCGGGGTGGGTAAGTGCCAAAATCTTAAAGCATCCAATAAATGCTTGACCTCGGAGTCGAACATCCTCTCCTTCCCCAGTTCTGCTTTGAGATTCGCTTCGACGCGGAAGAAATTATACGCAAGCTCCAATAAAGATGATTGGGTTTCCAATTGAGTCTCAAATGTAATTTTGAAGAGATTTTCAAGAACAAAAAATGGGAGCTGATTCTCCATCAAACTCATGTCTCTTCTCACGTTGGTGATCATCCATGGTTTTCGCTTGTCGAAGATGATATCATTCTCGGCCCTCATTTGTGGAGAGTGATTCAACAGGAACAGCTCAATGATGAATGCACCATCTACAAGAACCATTCTGATGAAGTCATCACTGCTGAGATCGATGTTCTCCGAGTAACACTGGCGAGTTCCCTCTTCCCACTTCTCGATGGCCTTAACACACTCTTCCACGGACGTCGGTTTCCGCTTCAGAAAGCTCTGCAGGTACCTCCACTTGTGCTCTTCCATGGCCTCCCACTGTGTGCCATGATAGAATGGCCCGATGGAGACTAGCTTCGGCGAGAAGGCTTCCCTGTGGGTCTGGCGGAGCTTTTTCGGAACAGTGAAGATGCAACAGTTGGATGGCGGAGATAGGCACTCTAATCGGCTGCTTATTGAAGTTATAAGATGATTGTGATTATCGTCACTTGCAGATGTTCTCCCTGCTTCTTCCATCCTCATTTCTTCTCAACTTTGGAAAAAAATTTCCCTCCTCAGTCAATCAAGAGCAAAGGTTTCAGCAAATCCAGTCCAAGAAAAGGGTCTTCTGTGCCAGAATAAGCCAGAAATTAGATATGGCCACTTTTAAGCAGAGCAATCATGGAATTAGGAAAACTAAAAAAAGGACCTGGAATTCAGAAATAGGAGGGAAGGAACTAGTGGCTGGTTGGTTGGGCTTTTAGGCATGGCAAGAAGTGGAGACCGCTGTGATGAAATGGCTTCGGCATGCTGCACAAGTTTGTCCTTCTTTTTTGTCCCTCTTAAGTCATCTTCATGCGGGCTGACATATTTATAGGCTGCTAAGATTGATCATGTTCAACAGAATGGTGGACTTTTTGGGGTAAAAAGATGTGGGCTGAGTAGCAACTTGATTTGTTCTAGCAAAAAAAAGAGTAGCGACTTGATTTGATAGAAACGACAAACCTTAGCTAGTGTCCTAGCGACAGTTGTCCAAGTGGCCATTCATTGCATTTATTATTTAGTAGATCTAACTCTTGTTATTTTGGTTATTTAGTGGATCTAACGCGTGCGGAATTGAGCTAATGACACAAACTGAAATTTCAAAAGTTGAACAATTCTCTTTTTTTTTTGGTCAAATCAATTCTCTCTTTAAAAAGAAGCAAATTACATGTTTATTTTTTATGTTTGACAATTGATTAACTATATTTAAACGGTGAGAGTAGCCGATGGTATTCACAATTAAAGTTGAGAAACATCATGAGTACTTTTCGATGTGATTGTATTTTTGTACTACAATCTCATCAATTTAGCTTCATTGCATAAAATGTTCGAGTCTCTTTAGTTATCTCACTTGTACAAATTCATTAATTACATGCCATCTAAACTTTGGTGAATTTATAAACCCGAGTTTGAAGAAAAATCGTAATCTCTCTATCGGCAACCCTCTCTTCCAAAAGAAAAAAACAATCCTCCCTCAAAGAAACTTCACCTGCAGGCTCTTAGTTTCAATTTTTGAAGCTGAGAGCCTGCTTTGCTTTGTTCTGCTTTTTTTTTTTCTAGGCATTGATTTCGTTTTTTTCCTCTCCCGATATAATCTAGGAGTCTTTTTTCGCCTCGTTTAGCGTCTTTTTTCACTCGTTGTTGTTGCTTTTATTCGCTCATCGCGATGAATAAATCTGCTTGTAGCTAAAAAATTTGTGAGGATGTCGTCACCAGTCCAACTAGCAAAATGTCCAAGACGTGATTCTATGACTTCTCCGCGATTCGTCGAAAGCTCTCCTCTCCTGATTTAGGTATAGATCTAAATCTATGAGCTTTTTTCACTCGTTGTTGTTGCTTTTCTTCGCTCATCGCGATGAATAAATCTGCTTGTAGCTAAAAATTTTGTGAGGATGTCGTCACCAGTCCAACTAGCAAAATGTCCAAGACGTGGTTCTATGACTTCTCCGCGATTCGTCGAAAGCTCTCCTCTCCTGATTTAGGTATAGATCTAAATCTATGAGCTTTTCTCTCTCAATTTAGATGTAGATCTGGAAGTTTCTTAGAAGCGTTTGATCTGTGGTGCTTCAACATATTATTGTTATTGTCTCCGTGGAGGACGTTGAACCTACGCACGCATTGCAAGCCATACTTTCTGGAGGAAAAGATCTCGGCGTGTGCCCATCACTAACAGTTCTGATGATTGATCACCGATTGCCTTTTAATGCTATGACAGATCTGATGTTTTGGGATGAGTGTTTGCTTATAACTGCAAGCTATACTATTTTGTTTTCTAGGTTATGTTTTGCAGCTCTTTCAAGATTTGCTTTGTTTGGAAGCTTTTTATGTTCCTTTTCTTGTTTGATTACGATAAATGAATGAAATTTCCTTTCGGCAAAAAAAAAGAAACTTCGGTAAAAACTTAAGTTTCTTTAGCATTGCTTTTTTATTTATAATCTTCCCTTTTCCAAATTTGTTGATGCGTTAAATAGAAACACTGTACTGTGCATGGGGACTGTAATGAGAAATGGAAATTTCGGTCTGCTTATTCCTGCCTCTGGTCACGTACGTAAAGATCCAGGATACTTTCTCTTAGGTGATGGTTTATTTACAGAGTTACATCCTTTTTTCTCGCTTATTATGGGTTTTTTTTTCCTTTCCCAGAACAAATTGCATAGAGGCAGGAATAAGCACACTGAAATTTCCATTTCGGTGCTATTAAACAAATTCTACATGAAATTGGTATAATAAGACATCGCACTAATGCCAACAAACCACACAAATTGCAAAGTTGATGAACAACTAAAACGTAGTTTTGGACGACTCGCTCTCAGTGACCAAGTATAGAAACAGTTTAATCCGCCATACTTTGCTCATCAAATTCGGTCTGAAAAATTTATCCCCACATGCAAATTACAAATGTAAGAAATTCCTTAAGTAGTGATTAGCAACTTCGGAAAAAACCTGTTTTACTACCGCAAGAGAAATAAATGTTTTCACATCCAACAAACGTAGATGACAAATAAAGTCAGAAACATAGGATAAGGATACCACAAGTGCCATAACTTTTATACGGCACTCACTTGAGTGCCATAACTTCTAAAAAAAAAAAATTCTCTTACGTGTCATAATTTTTCAATTAATTACTCGAGTGCCAAAACTTTTTAATAGCGTTCACCCAAGTGTTAGAAATCCGACCTGACATGATATTTATAGTGAACGTTTTTAAAAATTTATGATACTCAAGTGATCAATTGAAAAGTTATATGGCACTCAAATGGTCAGAAAAAAAAAGTTACGATTCTTAAGTGAGCTCCGTACATAAATTATTATACTCAAGTGATCTAAAAAAAAGTTACGGCATTCAAGTGAGTGTCGTACGAAAGATTTGGCAACTGTTGTGTCATTCTCTCCAAAAACATCAAAGTCTGTTTAAATTGAGTTCACATTTCGGGCAAGACCATGAGTTAGAGAGTATGAAGAATTGTCTTAGTCAAGGTCTTGGTCTATCCTGTTGGCTTCAATTTAACCATAAAATGGTGAAATGTACGTGACTTCTAACCTCTTTGGATTGGTGCATCTGTGTTTGGATGGTTTATTTTGTGATTATAGGTCAATTTTTTTAAGGAAGTGACTCTTCAACTAACCACTGTCTCTAGCTTTACTATCTGTACCCATCACACATTAATTCCGCTCCTGAATCATGTGGATGGTACAATCTTGTTCTCTAGCTGAAGATTCAAATCTCCTCGTGATGCTTGCAATTCTAAAATTGTCCAAAACGGTCATTTTTTCGCGGCCGTTTTTCATGGACCCACTCATCTTAATCACTCCCTCCTTATATATATGGTTTTTACCGTCAACAAAAGACTTATGCAACCTTCTTTAAATAAAAAAAAAAAATCAATCAATTGGGAGTCATTCAACACCAAAGTCTTGACAAAGAAAAAAGTAACACCAAAGTCCCTTTCGTTATTGCATATTCTCTTAGGTGTTCAAATAGTGATCTCTTATCTGTCGAAACACCCAGCACAAGGCTATATCCTCTCATGTAAAATCGGCAGAAAAGTCAGGATGCTTGTGCGTTAACAAATAGCCCTTTTAACAACAGCAACGCAAATAGTGAAGTGCTTATTGAGCGTCGAATATCATGCCGAAATGCTTCAATTCGAAACTTCTCTACTTCCATTTTCGCTGCAGACGAGAATCACCTATGACCACCTCCGACAAAATGATGGATTCAAAAGTTTAAGCATGTAGCGTTTTCTGACATGCCGCAACATTACTTAGTGGAAAATTTACGCATTGAAGGTAAAGTGACAAATCAATTTCTGCTCGCTAATCGAGCAATCTATCGAAGTTTCCCGGTCAGGGTTGATAAAGAATAAAGAGCAATCATCATCTCGGAGCATTATGTGTAAGAACAAGTCCCGACAAAGATGTGGACAAGAAACAGCGGTTTTACTCAGTGGATCAGAGAATTGACCATCAGTACAAGATCTAACTATAGGTAAAAAGATGAAGCGAGTCATCAGAAGCATGAGCGAGCAAAACAGTAACTATTTGGTTCTGACCCAAAAAAAACAAAAACAGCAACTATTTGGCATTCGTGCCGAAGCCGGTCCGATGGAGAGGAGCTCACGGAAAGTGTTGCTGAGCAAAACCATGTTGTTAACAATGAAAACGCGTTCCCTGGCTACAAGGAACACTCCAACTCTAAGAGGAGATCAGAGAACCAGTAAAAAATGGATATCCAGACTTTCGATGTGAAATATTAACTAAAAGTTCATATTACTCAAAGAGCTACAAGCTCTTAAGTTATTGCCAACCAAAAGTTTCAACTTACATTCCATGCTGGAGTTGACCTGTTACCATATCCTCAGGTGCTGCTACAAATGTCGGTTGGTTTTTTTTTTTTGGGTTCGAATTTACATTCGCATATCATGCGAGATCAACCAACACAACCATCTAACGAAGAAATGGCATTGATTACTCGGTCCTGTTTGATATACATATTCAATGCTGAAAATCGAAACATTCAAGACCTAATAAAATTATGCACTTTTCAATATGCTGGTTAACTTTGACTTAGGAGATTCTCAGAAAGAAAAAAATCACTCAATATATTGTAAGTTAAGGATGGGGTTACTTAAATTTTTCATTGAAAGGATATTTTGATGAAAATAAAAATCTTAACATGATTGTTGTGAAACTGGTACTAATAATGTTATGATTCAAATTTGCAAAAAAAATTAAAGAACTTTTGGTTTCCATTTTCAGTAGTTAAGGTTGCCAAACATTTGACATACGATGGGTAGAATTTCGATAATTACTCCTTTTTTTCTAATTTTGTCAAACAAATCCTAAGTCCCGACAAGAAA